AGAGAGAGAGAGAGAGAGAGAGAGAGAGAGAGAGAGAGAGAGAGAGAGAATGAGAGAGAGAGAGAGAGAATGAGAATATGAATATGAACCAATTTCAGTCGGTATTATTTAAAGTGCAGTTGTTCTGTTTGCTTGCTTTATTTTGTCCTTCTTAGCAGCGAGACGTTCCACATTTCCAAGTTTCATTTGGAGGAGGATTACATCACCTTCACAGTATTAGCTTTGTTTATAATTATGCAAGCTATATTTGGAGGCAAGGAGCTACTGTATCTCTTATACTTCTCCCTCCTTCGGAACAAAACCCCACAACTATAGCAGATGGTACTCTGAATTTTTTTTCCCAACATTGTTCTTAACTTAGAAACAGCTGCTTGGGAGATATCAGAACTGGCACTCTACTTTGATCAGAGCAACGGTGCCCTGCCTATGTGGGAGTTTTTCTGAAATCATCCTCCAAACTTCTATTAACGAGACCTTCTCAGTTTATAAACTCACACGTTTATATTGTGTCTTTTGTCTCTTTGCAAGGTTAATAGCTTTGTCCAAGGAACATCACTCTGACATCTGTGGAAGATTCATTTTCCTCAGTACACAAATTCTTGCTTCTAAGAGCCCAAGGTCTTCTAAACATAATTAGTGCAGATGCTACAAAATGATTTTTTTTTAAAGGGTGTTGCTTCATAATATAGGAAGAGGAAAATAATTCCTTTAGCAACATGTCCTTTTAATGTCATGCACCCATGACAGTACTGGCTCCTCTTCCCCTCAAACACACAGTAAATGCCTATTGGAGGGTGGGGTGGGACATTTGCAAGTAATTTGGTGTATAACAATCTAAATTCCACCACTGTGGTTAATTCAATAAACCATGACCAACCATCATACTCTAGTTGAATCAAGTTTTTCAGTCAATTTTCTGATGATATGTTTTTAGATAAAAGTTGTTAACAAAATACAGACAGATTCTAACATCGGCACTGAAATAGCTATGCTGGGGGAAATGAGCTGGCTGGCTCCCAGGATTTGGGAGGAATAATGTGCATAGACAGTCATAAATGAGATGAAGGGGAACACTGGAATCAAATCTGCATTCAGCCACAAGTATTGCACAAGATGAGATTGTGATGTGTGTGTGTGTAAATATATACACACAACATATATTGCTGGGCTAGCAATAATGCCGACATTCTTTTAAAAATATCTTTTTGTTAAAGATTTTGCTGAATTGAAATATCAAAGAACAAGACCAAACTGTCTTTATTTATTTATCTATCTCTTTCCACCATCACAAAACAGGGGTGGGCAGGGGTGGGCTTCAAAATTTTCAGCAGCGGGTTCTCTGCCTAGTGGCCTAGTTGGCCTCCTGCACCATGGTGTGTGTGTGTGTGGGGGGGTGCGTTTTTCCCTCCCCCAGACTCTGGAGGCTTTCCTCAACCCTCTGAGAGGGTGAAAACTGCCTCCCCTGGGCTCCGGAGGCCCTCCAGAGCTTCCAGGAAGCCCCGTTTTTCCCCCTTTCCCAAGCCTCTACAAGGTCCCTGCACTTACCTCTCATCCAAAATGGACTGCGTGGAGGGGTGGGCGGAGTCAACCAGGGGTGGGATTTAGAGGTTCTCCGAACCGGCCACAACGTTAGCTATAGGTTCTCCTGAACCCGGGCAAGTCCGTAGCAGCCTACCCCTGGGTTCTTGGTATAGATGAGAGAAGAGAGAAAACAGTGAATTGATCCCACAATCCATTCCAGATATAACTGAGCTACCTTTTGTCTGAGTGAAAATGTCCTCAGAAATATAAAAGAGCTAATGCGATGTCAGCCCAAGAGCTTTTCTTGGACCAGTTCAACTCTTGAGACATTTTGGAAATATCCATTAATTGGATTGCCTGCCACATCCCCGAACTGTTTCCCCGGTTGGCGCCGTCAGCGCAGCTTCCTTGCTTTTCAGTTCTAAGCATGTACAGAACAATTTTAATTGTGCACGTGCAGCATGCACACGAGCGAATTGGCAGTAGTGCCGGCCAGAACCCACCCCTACACAATATATTAGTGTCTAAACAAAAAACAAGGTTGTGCATTTGGCATTTCTTATGGAAATCCAGCCATTGTACTAATAAGTTGTCTGAATCCAATTATTATGTTTAGCAATATGTTTTTATTATTATTTTGGTTGGGCAGAGTTTAATTATAAGAGTCCTGCAATTGTTTTTTTTTTTAAGCAGGTTTAAGATTTGTGTAAATCCCTTGACCAACTTTCAGACTTGCATAAGGAGACAGAAGCAAAGCAGTCTTTCTGCTACACATTCTAAGTACAAAGGGTCTTTAAATATTTGATAAATGCATCCAACATCTTTGTAGAAGTTAGCAGCATAAATAATACAGGTCTGCCATTTGTTCTGGCATAAATTGAAATAAGACTTCCCTCTACTGTTCAGTTTTAGGAACTACACTAATAGGAAGGCCTTGCTTTGTGCTTTCCCCAACCTGATGGTTTCTGTTATGTGCTGGATTTAAACACTCTTAATGTCATAGTCATCATGGCCACTGCTTGGGCTAGCTGGAAATGATAAGTTGTTATCCAACCCATATGAATGTACAAAACTATGCAAAGCTATTCTCTGTGTAGGCCACTTGCAGGTTCCAAATAGAAATAATTCAAGAAATTGACATGCATTGTCTTTTTTATGTGAAAAGTGGTAGAAAGACTTTATCCTTTGAAAGACAAACCAAAAACACTTGAAATAAGATAGTGGAGATAATAACCTTCAGCTTTTTGCACCACCCTGGTAGACTAAGGAAGGGTATTCAAGCCGCTCAAGAGTTTATACTAAAGACTTGTGAAATGGTTACATGAAAAAAAATCCTTTGATGACTTACTTCATTTTGCCGTCTTGTGCCTACAGAGTTTTTTGATGATTATGCCGAAGGTCGGGAATGTGTCAACTGTGGTGCTATGTCCACCCCACTGTGGCGAAGAGATGGTACTGGCCACTATCTTTGTAATGCATGTGGACTCTACCACAAGATGAATGGCATTAACCGGCCACTGATCAAGCCCCAGAGGAGGCTGGTAAGGAGTGAGATGCAAAACCCTCACAGACTGTGAGAATCTCCTTTGTGATTCAATTCCACCTGTCCAGTATTAATCTTGACCTGTAAAAAAGCAAATTAGATTTACATCATTTATATGGTTGTATATTATAACACAGTTTCGATATGGCTCTGAAGCTTATTCCTCCTGCTCCGACACACAAGGAATTTGTCTCAGGTGTATAAGCTCTCAATGTACATACAAATAACAAAATGATAAATCATAAATCATAAGATACCATAGGAGAAGGTAATAGGAAAGGTGAGAAGGATTAGAGTAAAATAGCCCTACTACATGGGTGAATATCAGGGGTGGGATTCAAAAATTTCAGCAACGGGTTCTCTGCCCAGTTGCTGGGTGGGCATGTCTATGGTGGGTATGGCCTAGTCAGCCTTCTGCACCACGATGGGGGGGGGCTGTTCTCGCCTTCCCCAGGCTCTGGAGGATATCCCTAAAGCCTGTGGGAGGGTGAAAACTGCCTCTCCCTGGCTCCGGAGGCCCTCCAGCGCTTCCATGTGGCCTATTTTCCCCATCCCCAAGCCTTCAAGCCTGCACTTACCTTACATCCAAAATGGGCCACATGGTGACCCCCGGAGAGTCGGGGTGGGCAGCGCCAGCCAGGGGTGGGATTTGGAAGTTGTCCGAACCGACCATAATGTTAGCTATGGGTTCTCTCAAACCCAGGCGAATCCGTAGCAACTCACCCCTGGTTAATATCCTTAGGTATAAGACAGTACTGTGGGAATTAGGTATTTAACAAAATGATGGCATGGGGGGGGGGACTGTTTTTGTGTCTAGTTGTTTTAGCATTTTATAGCAATTTATGATAATGAGTAAAAAAAGATTGATAGATAAGATCAATCTTAGTGAATTAATCAGCTATTCTTGCTTTGAACTCTTGTCCTCACAGTCAGCCTCCCGTCGGATTGGACTGTCTTGTGCAAACTGTCATACATCTACAACCACACTGTGGCGCCGGAACGCCGAAGGAGAGCCAGTCTGCAATGCCTGTGGTTTATACATGAAGCTCCATGGGGTGAGAGGAGAAAACAAAGCATAAACTATCTATGGCAGCTTCCCCCAGTTTGCTTGTTTCCCCCATGTTGGATGGGAAATCTGAGAACCCAAAAACATCCGGAGGGCATCAGTATGGAAAGGCTCCTTTTGGATTTAGATCAAGAAGGTGGCATCAGGACTTTTTCCCCTGCGTAGGATTTCCTGTTACTAAAGAGGGCAGAGAAACCGCCGTTTCTAGGCATTACTTTGAAGCCAAAGATGGGAGGGCAGAGGAGGAAAATGGTGGGGAAAAAATCCCACCATCCTTGTTGGGGGTTTATAGTGTTGCTCTCATATATCTGGAGGGTGTTTTTAGGGGAGGGCTGGATTTGGTCTTTAGTAGAGATGTCCTTCTAGGACTCTTCATCCAGAGTATTTTGTTTTGGTTGTTGAAACAATTCAGAATACTCTGAAAGTTCTCGTTTTCCAAAAGAATAACAAGAACATTAAGTTCTGCTATGGGAAACAATGGGAACTGAAAACAGCTTTTGCTGTCATCATTGTCATCGTCATTTTAGCCACTGTTTATCCAATGCAGGATGAAGGCCTCTTCCGCATGTTTGCAACCAATACAGTTCTGAGCTTTCTTTTGCCAATTGGCCAGCAATACTTGCTGATGTCTTTGATCCATCTTCTTTTAGCTCTCTTTCATGGATGCTTTTTATCAAGTGGGATCCATTTTACGATTGCCTCGGTGATCTTGATCTTTGTATAGCTCTGAATAGAATTTTCCAATTACCATATTTTTCGGAATATAAGACGCGCCTTTTTCCTTCAAAAAAGAGGCTGAAAATCTGGGTGTGTCTTATAAACTGAATGCAGCATTTTTTGCCTCCTTAAACCCCAAAATGATTGTGCAAAGCCTTTAGGAGCCTTGCAGAGTGTTCCTGGGGGCTGGGGAAGGCAGAAATGAGCAAAAAATGGACCTTATTTTGCTAAATTTTGCCCCCCCCCATAGCACTCTATAAGCTTCATAAAGGCTATGCATACCCCCCCCTTTTTTTTTCAAAAATGGGCCGTTTTTTTGCTCATTTTTGCCCCTTCCCCATGAACACTCTACAAGCCTCCTAAAGGCTATTCATGCCCTTTAAAAAAAATGAGCCATTCATTTTCACAAAAAACAGTCCATTTTTGGGACGTATGCAGAGTGCAAAAACGTTTTTTAAAATTTGCCTCTTCAAAACCTTGGTGCATCTTATACTCCGGTGCGTCTTATACTCAGAAAAATACGATATTTCTAACATTTCCTATCTTGTTCTACACACAAACCATCTTCATATTTGAATGCAAAAACCTTTTTTTAATCTATAAGCTTGCATTTTGCTCTATTACGGTAATCCCTTTGTTTTCTTCAATTGTCTTTTTCACAAGTTTCAGGTTAAACTGACACATTTCTTTTTGGATTCTTTTTCCTATGGTCGTGCAAATTTCAATGTACTCCAGTTTATGCAAATAAGAGTTAAGAAAACAATGAGTTACTCTCACGATTTTGAACATTCAAAAACTGCAGATTTTTCTAGGGGAGTAATGTTGATCTGTAATGCATCTTCATAGGTTCCAAGACCTTTAGCTATGAGAAAAGAAGGGATCCAAACCAGGAAGCGTAAACCAAAGAACTTGAGCAAATCCAAGACATCAGCAGGTGAGTACATTTAGAAAAAATCTTATCTAATATGACTCAGTGGTAATTACAATTTAAGCTTAATGTCTGCCAAAGCTGGAAAAAGTAGACCAAAATCAAACATTGGCATTCTATGGCCCTTCAAATAAAACACATCATAATTCATTCATTCATTCATTCCCCTTGGATACCACCAATTCAAAATAGACTTTGTGACAGTTTATAAAACAATCAGCAAAACCTTCTACGTATAAAAAAATACAAAAAAGTAATCCAAAGGGAAATAAATTTGGTGAGAACCAAGTATTTCATCAAGTGTTCTTTGGAATAATTTTACCTTGTAAAAACAAGGTGAATGTGGGACACGGTGGCTTAGTGGCTAAGATGCTTCGCTTGTTGATCAGAAAGGTCGGCAGAGGTTCAAATATCTAGCGCCACATAATGGAGTGAGCTCCCATTACTTGTCCCAGCTTCCTCCAACCTAGCAGTTCGAAAGCACGTAGAAAATGCAAATAGAAAATAGGGACCACTTGGTGGGAAGGTAACAGCATTCCGTGTGCCCTCGGTGTTTAGTCATGCCGGCCACATAACCATGGAGATGTCTTCAGAGAGTGCTGGCTCTTCAGCTTTGAAACGGAGATGAGCACTGCTCCCTAGAGTCAGGAATGACTAGCACATATGTTCAAGGGTAACCTTTACCTTTAAGAACCTTAGAAAGAAGCTAGCCTGCATTCTAAAGTGAAGGTATTCCCCGAGGCTGAGCAGACACCATCTGCTTTCCCTCCATTTCATTGGTGAAATTTGACCAAAGCTGCTGCCATTAAGATGGGCATGTTGGATAGGCCAATTCAGATAGGAGATGGGGGTCCTGTTGGTATCTGGGTATCAACTCATGTAATTACCTAGGAGCTGAATGTCAATACATTCTGGCATTCTATAGCAAAGTTCTTGTGTTTTTCTCTGAAAACCTTCCTGATGAAGATCCATTTGGCCTTTTTCTTATTTTTCATTCTTATTACAGCAGCAATAGTAGCCAATGCTTTAATATTTGCTAAAGTCTCAGGGCAGATCTGGTTTAACTGTTTATCTCTCCTTTTTCCACCTCCCACCCTAGGATCAGCCACCAATGAAAGCCTCCCCACTGCCATTAGCTCAGCCCCCTGCACCAGCACAACCACCACTACTACTGCTGAAGAAATGCGCCCCATCAAGACAGAACCAGGGATCTCATCTCATTATGGACACCCGAGCCCTATTCCTCAGGTGAAGCTTTTTATTAGGCAAAAGAATAGTCATATCGTCTCATTGCTTATTGACGCTGCATTTGTATTCTGCTTTTCTGTCAAGGAGTTCAAAATCAGACACACACGGCTTTCTCGGTATTTTAGTTTCTTAGCAATCCTGTACTGAATTTAACAGAACAGAGTTGAGTTAAAGCTTCAGCGTTCCATGGCAAGCTTGTTAATAAAATTCCTGCACCCACCTGCATACCTTAATGTCAGAGCGTTTGCAGCATGACTACTATTAGGAGACAACCCAGGAGCAAAACACAGCACACAGAGACTTAGATATTCAACAGGGGTTTATATTAGAGGTGGGTTCCTATTGGTTTGGACCGGTTCAGTCGAACCAGTAGTAACTTGGCGGCCTGGGTCACGGGAACTGGCAGCAGTCCAGGCCTGCCACTCCCCTGAACCAGTTCTCCTCCGGTGCTGCCATTTTGATTTTCAGTTCTGCGCATTCGCAGAGGTATTTTCATTGCAGAAATGTAATTTTTCCCCTTTTTTTGCGCATGCACAGATCTTTTTAGGTGCAAATGCGCATGCTGTAATGCCGCAGTAATGCTGGCAGCAACCCACACCTTGTTTATATACAGAAATATACGTGGTAGCAAATACCTGACAAGTAATCAATCTTCTTAACTCTACATGGAGAACTTAACAATGGATACAATGGACACAAGGAGAGAGACATATGCTCTTCCTGGCTGCCTTATATAAACACCTCCTAAAGTGGTAAAGACTTTTGTGGACCACTTCATAGTCTTCAACTGGCTATACTAATGCTGATTCATCTTCATTGCATCTGCCTTACATTTCATCAGCTTTACAGTTCCATCAGCTTTACAGCTGGTCAGCTCTTAAATCTCAATACCTTAACACTTAAGCTTGTAAAGCAAAGGTTGCATAATCAGAGTCATTCAACATTAAGGTAACTTTTCATATTCTGGATCTCTCCAGATGTAAGACATTTCTCCCTCATGGAGAAGACTGTGACCATATGATCTATGTACAGGTGTGACCATATGATCTATGTACAGTCGAGAACCTCGACTTACAACAGTGCATTTAGTGAGTGTTCAAAGTTACAACGGCACTGAAAAAGTGACTTATGACCATTTTTCACAGTTATGACTTTTAAAGCATCCCCAACAATCATGTGATCAAAATTCAGATGCTTGGCAACTGCTTCATACTTATGACCGCTGCTGTGTCCCAAAGTCAAAAGCGATCAGCTTTTGTGATCTTCTGACAAGCAAAGTTAAATGGGGAAGCCAAATTCACTTAACAAGCAGGTTACTAACTTATAAACGGCTGTGATTCACTTAACAACTGTGGTAAGAAAGGCTGTAAAATGAGACAAAACTCACCTAACAAATGTGCCACTTAATCACAGAAATTTTAAGCTGAATTATGGTCGTAAGTTGAGGACCAGTAGTACATCCTCATGTTATCCAGGAGTTATGAGTATTGACCATTTCAATTGACCTCTAGTGCCTTCTTGGGGTTCTTTAAACCTGGGGCAATAAACTTTTCAGATGTTTTATTAATTGATTTACATTTCATCTTTTATCCAGAAGCAAAATATAACATACATAGCACATCTTACCTTAATTCTATCCACATCCTTCTAAGAGTGAGTGATAGATCCAAAGTGAGTTTCCAGGTTAAGGGCGGACTTAGACTTGAACCTGGGTCACCCCAGTCCAACACCTTAAACACTCTCCCATATACTGGATCTGATGGTCTTTTCATTTTATTCATATGCTGCATAATTTTAGATTTTTTGATAGAAAGGAAAAAAAAGAGTTATTTGTATTTTCTCTCACCTTTCCATCAATTTCCATTATCTAACACCTCCCACCCACCACCCACCCCATTGCAATAATCAGCATTCCACATATGAAGACAGAAGGTGGAGCAAGAGAGGACAGCAGACAACCATATAGAGTTATCCATGGTGGAATTCTAGTAAGCTTGGGTGACATGATAGCAGTGTTCCAATATCTAAGGTGCTGCCACAATAAGTCAGCCTATTCTCCAAAGCACCTAAACGCAGGACAAGAAGCAATGGATGGAAAGTAATCAAGGAGAGAATCAACCTAGAACGTAGGAGAAATTTCCTGACAGAACAATTAATCAATGAAACAACTTGCCTCCAGAAGTTGTGGGTGCTCCAGCACTGGAGTCTTTTAAGAAGAGAGAGGACATGGACAATCATTTGTCTGAAATAGTATAGGGTCTTCTGCTTGAGCTGGTTGTTGGCCAGAAAACCTCCAACGTCCCTTCCGACTGTTATTCTGCTTTTGAAGCTTAAGGGAATTCAGGTAACCACTATGGCAACCTTTCTATTCCCAACTCTGTCTTCCATATGTGGCAGGTCCTAGTTCCTATTATATGCATCCAGCACAGGAATCCATAGGTTGCTGGGCTGGGGGAGGTTCCATTCTATCATATCTAGTAAGCTGAGTGGAGTAGGAAAAAACAGATTGTACAACAACTACCCCCAACTGAATGGCAGTGTGGCTGGGAATTTTGAAAGTTTATTGCATTTTCAATTTATTTAAATCATTTATGTGCTGCTGATGGCTCAAGACTGTTACAAAACTACAGCTGCAACAATAGAAATATAATTAAGATACCATAAATCTAAAAGTATCATTTCTTTAGATTTACTTCAGATAATGTTTAGAGAAAATATTATCACATTTTACAATGGGTAAAAGAAGTGGGACAGTTGAAATTGTTAATAGGCCTCAATAAACAAGTACATTTAAGCCTCTTCAATTATAAGGCTTCCGTTCCAGTGGCAATTTTTTTTTAGCAGCACGGGGTCTGCTACGAAGCAATGAGATTGTAAAAGATGCCCTTTTGATAATTTAATAATTTAGGGTAAACCGTATAGATGTACAGTATGTGGCAGTTTGGTCCTGAGGCTTATATTGTGAAGGTAAATGGGAGAAACAGAGCCACATAAAAAATCAAATTAACAAAACAACTTTAAAAACCAAATTCCTATCACCTCAGTATCTCACTAAACCCAGACCACTTACCCACCCAGTACACCTGTACAAAAGTGAGTGGTACCCATCACTCTAAAAACATTGTCTCTAGTTCAGCAATCCCCAACCTTTCTGGCTTGGTGAATCAGCAAGGGGGAGGGGGGTTAAGAGGGGATGGTTCTGTGCAAGTGGAAGGTCCGTGCATGACCAAGCGCCACTCCATTTGCACAGGGGGCAGGCATGTCCACCCACCCTTGCCCAAATCGAGCTTTGCACGTGTGTGTCCACCGCTCATACAATTAGAACTGCACACATGCTCACCTGCCATTTGCGTGGCCTAGTTTGAAAATGGCTGTGTCCCGGGGATTGGGGACCTATGCTCTAGTCCATCCAATTATCCTCACCCAGAGAATGGATTAAAGGGAAACTCTTTCAGTTATTCCATGCTAATGGCTACTATACAGCCCAGCTATTCCTACTAAGAAGTTTAGTTTGCTGCTTACTCCATAGTTCAGCTGTATATCTTACCCAACATTTCAGAGATTTTGAGGCAAAGTAATACAACTTTATGGAGTGTGGTTTTTTTAAAATTCAGTTCTCCAATGCGGTAAAATTGTAGCCACAATACATTCTGGAAGATATATTTATTTATTTACTTACTCACTCACTCACTTACTTAGCAAATTTATTTGCCACCCATCTCATGGTTCAGTTTTTAAGAGACTGATACAGACAAATGACGAAATAGCATTTTCTTCTCTTTTTCTTCCACATTATTTATGTCCCCCCCCCTCTTTTCCCTCTCCCCACTAGGCATTCTCTGTTGCGGCAATGTCTGGGCATGGACCTGCTCTTCACTCCACTATGTCTACTCTCAAACTGTCTCCACAGGCTTATCAAGCAGCCATGAACCAATCTCCCCAGCCCAGCTCCAAGCAAGATTCCTGGAACAGCCTAGTCTTAGGGGAAACACATGGAGACATCATCACAGCTTAACAATCTTCTGCCTCTTCACCCCCTTCTAAGGGAGTTACCAAGCTTGGGACTCAAAGGCGATGGGCATCTATCAAGCAATACTATTTGTTCTCCCCCCCCCAACTTGTTTCTCCCTCCCATCCTTTGTTTTTGTCTAGTTTTGGTCTTAGAAGAGCCATTCCAAAATGCTTTGGCCTGTTCAATCAAAACTGCCAAGTTCTATTTTTAAGAAATCCTCCAGATAACATGGACACCAATATTACATGTTTATAAGTAACTGATAAACAGAAATGTAATATCAAATAGTATGTTTGTATATGTGTGTGTACATGTGAAGAATGTGTATGAGCGTGAATGGAAATTTGTAACTGCAGCTTTCCACATGTTCAGTCTTCAGTCATCTTTTGAAAAATGAAGGAATGTATAAGCCAGCCCATAAAATAGAATGGAGGTTAAGAAGAGATAAAAAAATAAAACAAAAAGGCAGTATATAAGCCAGCAATTTCCCTAAACTTTTATTATGGGGATCAGTGGCTAGTGGCCTTTATGAAAGATCTGATTTCCTGATCTGGGACGATAGCTATCCATCCCATTGTTAATTCAAAGCCTAAAGAACCAGCAGCATATGCAGAGAAGAATGGGAAAAAAGGCTAGTGGCTGGCATAGGCTTGGGTTTTGGTTCTCTATTTCCCATTTTGATTTATAAAAATTATTCTTCCCCAAAGAGACTGCAGACCAAAATGTGTTATCTTTGATAGGAAGAGACTCAAAATTCAAGTACGGTGGCTCACAAGAATCCAGAAGAAAATGGAGGTGCTGTGGTTTGCAAATGCTGCAATCAATGGTGAACTGAAGACTCCAGTTTTTTTTTAAAGTGTGGAACAGAAGCAACAGTTTTGTCTTCAAACATAGCTGCAATTCACTATGGCCTGTGGATTCTAGCCGGAATTTTGTGGATCCAGCAATTTTATGACTGCCAGCAGCACACTGGTGTTAATTTAATTGCTTTTCTGTCAACTTGATTAACCCCTCTTCTTTTGCTATTAATAAATCTATTTTTCCTTTCAAAGCAACCAACTCATAGTGTTTTACCTATCTGTTTTTCAGCTGAAAGTGGGATTCTCTATGATTTATATACAATCTTTCAGATAAAGGTCAGGCACAGCTGGAATGAGTGACTGTAGATTAGCAGGCACCCATTTCAGAATATGGCAAGGGTAGGGGGTAAGCAAATATTTTGAACTGAAGGTCTGCTTTCTCTCTAATATTAAGCATGGTGTCACTACTAAATAAAACTTTAAAAAGGTTTTATACTTATGATCAAGGTAAACATGACCCAGTTGCAGGATTGACACTAGTTTTCACTCAATCTCATTATCTCCTGCGAGGAACTAATCAAACCATTGCAAAATACACAGTTCTGAAGTTTCTGTTCTCGTTTAACAGAAACAAAGCTTTGTGTGTAAAATCAGTAAAATTGTAATATTCATCTTCAGAACTTTTGGGATAGTTGCAAAGTATTTAAAACAAAAAGCAATCAATGAATTTGAATAAATTATGACTCTTAGATCACAAATTACATGTAGACGGTCCCTGGTTTTATTCCAAACATCTCAAATTTAGAAATGAAGAGGATCAGGGAAAAATTATGGATAGGGGATTTGCTAAAACAGGGGAGTCAAACTGTAATGTAATGTGACATATCAGGACATTTTTCCCCTTTGCTAAACCAGGGATGGCCAGTGTGTGGCGCATCCTGCCCAAAGGCCAGGAGTTTGACAGCCCTGTGCTAAAACTTTTCTTGAATCTCTATGGAAATTCTCAATCATCCTGATCATAGTTGTCCCTAAGGTGCTTTTTCAAAAGGAAACTGGACTTTGTTTTTCCTTGAAGACATTTCATTTCTCATTCAAGAAACTAGAAGCTTCTTCAGTTCTGAGATTTTCTTGAAAATCTCTTTGCTACTATCTGGTGGATGTTTAGATCTTTAAGCCTAGATATGGCAGCCCTGTCTTGATTCAGATTTTGGGAGTTTGTTCAGATTGCATTGTTTGTATACCAAAACCTATCCAAAATGTCATACATGCCTCTTACAAATCTAAGCATGAACAAATATAAAATCCTAGTTTATTCAGGGACTGGTCTAAAGAGAGTATCTGACATGCAGAAAATGCAGACACTTCACTCATGTGAATCCTATTTGAAATAGTAGTACCTGATTTAGGTTAATATCTCTGAAAATTAGAATCAGTTTAGCTTACCTATCCCTTGATTTTTATTTAGTGAAAGAGATTACCAATGTAAGGCATTTGCTAAATCCCTATTCTTTTTAAGACGTAGCATGTCTTTGGATCAGTGCAATCTCAGAGATTTAAACATTTTTATTTTAAAGTATCAACATAGTTTTTACTGTGAAACATTCATGTACATGTTTTGGTACTATTCTCTTCAAAATACATACACATATTCTATTCTTAATTATCCTAGTTATTTAAAACAATTTGTCCCTTTTAATAATTTAAACAATACAGCCAAAGAACGAGCAGAGGTAGATGCATGCAAGCATTTTGTATTGACTTATCAGTACCTACATTACAATAACACGGTTAAAATCAGCCTCAAATATAAGAGCAAGAGCATTAATTAAGCCTGTAACATATGCAGGAAAGCAACCAAAGGCCACTGGAGGCGTAGATTGACATAAAGCCATTTCTGCACCCACAAGGCGGGTTTCAAGCGGTTAATGGCAACCACCTCAGCAAAAGGCAGGAAACGTGAATTCCTGTGGCACAGTAGAACTTTAAACACAGAATTTTGATCCATCTGGTGACCAGTAGGTAGTAAATGCCTCGCAAGGCCAAAGAAGGCGTTTTATGGCCATGATTTGCTGCTGCTGTTGGATTACTCAAGGCTGTTTGGACCCATTTCGGAAGATGCTCCTTTATTCTGAAAGCCAAACATCTATCAGTTCTGCTGATGTAATTGTCTCTGCAATTACAAACAAATTGATAACCACAATGAATTTTGGCGCTGATAGGTTGTGCAGCGGTAGCCTCTGAGTTTGATGTTACTGAATGTTGCTTCAATTAAGGTGTTTTAACATGGAGTCCTAGTAGTAACAAGACCCAAGCAGCAGGAAGAAGATAGCATAGTATTAGCAGTTTTGTCTCTGAACAATATTTTCAGGATTGAATATTACATTAATATCCAAAAAACATACACATTAAAACATGCAGCTCAGCAATCCCTTCCAAACAGGACTGCCCAATTTGTACATGTAATACACCTACATAAATTATCTTATTTTGTGCTAGCTTGTACACAGGACTGTTTTGGGAAAGGAAGGATACCTCTTAAGTTGTACAGTTTTGTTTTCACCTTAAACCCAGGAAACATTGCAAGTTTCAGTAAACATTTCCCAATGCTTGCCATGCCAAGGATAGGTGTTGAGGTTGATAATCAGCACCTCTGTTCTAGTTCCAGCTGACATTAGTAAGAATAAAGTTAATTACACACACCTAAAATGTGTTTACTTCTGAGTCATCTGATGTCTCTGATTTGTTCACAAAGCATAAACAAACTCCTACTGGATTATCTTAAGCTGATTTATTAGGGAGTAAGCCCAGATTCTGTGTGGTTCAGAGAACTGGCAAATCAGACCACCGGCTGCCCCTGCCCGTTTTTCAGGCTGTTTTCTGAGCTTAATCTAAGAAGATGTTGATCTACCCTTAATCTGGTTTTTCAGATCTTCCAATGGTTCACCTATCGCTATTGTAACTTGAGTCCACCCCTCTTGCTGCTTGGCTGTTTTCTTCTACTTTTCTAAGCATTAAAGCCTTTTTGATAATATGTACAAACTAGGATAATTTGAGCCTAATGATTTTTGACTCTAGATAAGAACTATGTACATTTTTTGATGAGCCTATTTTGTTGGCTGTCCAGGGTTGTTTTAGGAGCCTTCTACAGCATGCACTTTCCAAAACGTGTTATTTTAAGGCACTTTAGCATGGGTCCATTGTACACACCCTGAAAACTTTTGTTTTTAAAAAAGCTTCCTGTGAGAAAAGAAAATCTGTACAAGCTCATAAATAAGTTAGCATTATTTTTTTAAAAAACAGTTTTGCCCTTTTTATGGAGAAAACAGATTGCAAATCAAAAATTCTACCCGAGATGCCAAATTCTTTGAAAATAAAGGTTATCAACCAAGGAAAAGGGATATAAGAGGTCCTTGGTGCTCTCTGAGCTTGATTGTTTTCATGCAGATGTTTCATTACCCAAACTAGGTTTGTTTTTTCCTGTCAGAACCACCACAACATACTATATGACATAAATTTTAAAATATAAAATACAAGATTAAGACATGTACACGTTAAACAGATCTTGGCCAGAAACGGATAATGTTGCCTAGTCTGAGTAATGAAACGTCTGCAAGAAAGCAACCAAGCTCAGAGAGGATCAAGGACGCATTCACTTCAACCCTGAGCCACAAATATTCTCCTTTATTGAAAAAGGATACTTTATTCTCTCACTGTGGCTACCTACATTCACGCAAACTGCAAAACTACCCAAAGTTAATGCTAGCCAAATTTTGCTTTATGTGCGTTTGCACTTCGCCTCCTTTAGAGTTGTGGGAACACAACGGTGCACGATTAGACTGTTTGCATTTATACCTCAATTTTTCTTTTGCAGTTCAAACAGGAATAAGGGTCTTTCCAAGGCTTTCCCTCAGCTCCAATTAGTTCACTCTTCGCAGGGTTACGCAGGGATCGATGGAGACGAACAGTTCGGTTCTCGATTGGAAAGGTCTGCCGAGAGAGTTCCTTTCAGAAGGCAAATAGATGAAGCGGGAGCAATAAACTCTCGCTCGGAAATGAAAGAAGGCAGGAAGCCCTCTGAAGCGAGAAACCTTTGGTGGCTTCAGGTCGGAAAATAACTTTTAAAAAAAATCATTGGTCGTATCAGCTGCATTTCATTTTCTTCCGACTAGACGTGGGTGTATCTGACTTCTATTACAATTTTCAGGAGCCTCCAGTGTAAGATATACGTATGTAGTTCGATTTGTGTTGCAGACACACGTCTTCCTAATGCTCCAAATAGCTGTTGTAAATGGACTATATCCCGTTTGTATTTTCAAACTGCTGTTGGTTGGTGGATAAAGGATAAAAATGGGTGGAATCAGAAGCATGCAAATACTTATAAAAACCTGGCGACAAGCAACCTAGGATGGTCTGTATTAGGGGCTGGGATACATTTCTTTTAAAAATGGTCAGAGCAACTTCAAAACCAGATGTTTGCCATGTTTGGACACCTCCAAACCAGGCGTGGTACCATTCTTGCACAGGTAGTCCTTGACTTACAACCACAATTAAGCCCCAAAATTTGTTAAGTTGGGACATTTGTTAGGTGAGTTTTGCCCATTTTATGATCTTTCTTGTCACATTTAAGTGAATCACTGCAGTTGATAAGTTAGTAAGCTGGTTGTTAAGTGAATCTGGCTTCCCCATTGACTTTGCTAGTCCCTGGGACACTGCAATGGTCAGAAGTATGAACCAGTTGCCAAGAAATTGAATTTTGATCACATGAGCATGGGGATGCTGCAAATGTCATATCTGTGGAGTTTACATGTTTATCCTCTAACAGTCTTTCCTGGCTGAGTGTACTTTACTAAATGTTTTCTAACAGACAATTAGGGAGATAGTGCCAGAATTGACATTTCTGCCTTCCCAGAGGTCTCACTAAAGTGTCTGAAAGAGTTAACAATGTGGCTTCCCCTCTTGAAAAGTGCTTGTACCAAACTGGAGGGTGTGTGTGTGTGTGATCACACAATTGTGCAAATTAGTTACAGTCTTAATCATACTTAAAAGTTGATCAGTACAAATTCATGGGACTTATTGAAAAGAAATCCAACTGATTATAATAGGCTATTTAAAAAGGTTAATGTTGTTATGTTAGG